ATGTTTAAGTATCATTTCAGAGTTGGAACAGGGTACCATTTATTTTCTGGAGCAGTTGAGCGCGACTGAATGTCTGGAACGAAGATATCAAGAGGAGTGAAGGAGTCTGATTTTATACTTTGTGAGGAACAAGGTGGGAGGAACCAACCTTTGCGGTCATCCATTTTTGTCATCATTTTCATGAGAGTACAAAGCATACGCTGCTGGGGAAGGGGTGAAATGGTTGCATACGCTTTTAGAAACATGTTAAAAATGACGATTATCATAGACCGTCCAACTACTGCATGTGTGAAGAGAGTGCGAAGGACTCTGATGCATCATTCATACAAGTTCGGGCAACAGCTATTTCTTAACCACTCAATGATTTTGCCTGGTGTCATATATAAATAGTACATACACAAGTACCAGGCAAAATTCAAAAGTTGAAGTTACAGCCACATGTGAAAAGTCTTTGAGCACCCCCTAAAGCTCCGCTATGCTTTACTCTGATTTGGTACCCAGACACAAGTGTATTTTACAGTTTATTTATGTATGCATTTTCCAGATGCCCTTCTCCAGAGAGATGCCCTGCTATATGCACAGCGTGCATTAATACACACAAGTTTGTACATTTTATGTATATGTATGTAATGATGCAAGAAATCATTGTAATTGTATAATTTTGATCACTTTTTATAAGATTTTGTGAAGAGGAAAGCAAATCAAATTAAAGGCACATTTTCTGACTGCTATTCTTGGCCACTCAAAATGGCCACTTATATTTCAAGAAAAAAGTGCCTATCCATCGGGCAATTTGTCCTCATATTTTTATTTGCCCGAACAGAAAGAGGAAATTTGTCCGGGCAATCGGAAAACCGTGAATGTCAAGGCCTGTCCATGGACAATGTTTTTCCTCCTGCCATTATTCTCTTGCTGTGTACTGCACTTTAACAGCCGTACGTTGTGAATTAGAATGGGTCCTTAGGCACAAAAGAAAAATCATCATTTTTTGTTCATTCATTTTGTACTCTTTTAGAGGGGGAGGGGGGGCCAGGAAAAAGAGTACACTTTGTATGCTTGTGAAAATGACGGCAAAAATGGATGACTCCTTACTTGGTGTGGTTCCCAATTCATATTGCCGGGATATTCGATAAGGCTTGCAGTTTGCTCTGTTGTCGATACGTGCCAACTGCTAGCAGAAGGGCCAGTTTGACTGATATTTAAGTAACAATGTCTGTCTCAAGGGTTCATCAGGAGAATGTGAAAGTTTCCCAAGAACCCGAGGGAGACACCACGAAGGGAGGAGCTTATGAGTGGGAGGCTTTGTGATGAACATTCATTGGAAAAGGTGGCCCAGGGCATGGTTATTAAAGATTGTTGAGCTGTCAGGAAAACCTCCATGAATGGCTGCAACGGCTGATTGGTTGTTTAATGGCAGCTACTGCGAGGCCAGAGTTGAACAGGTAGACAAAAAAATCGTCACCCTCGGTCAGAGTAAACTTGACAGGATCAAAAGTTTACTGTCAACGCCATTTAAAGTAATGTTCCAGTCAGCTGTTTTAGACATTTCAGGTGGATGGTTGACGATTTTGTGCTGCAAATGAGGCAGCTTCTGCCAAAAGGCCTGCTGTTCAGAACAATTGTTTAACAACACCCAGCATGTCAGGTGAAGACTCTCTGGAGTTGGGTGTTCGATTTTGGTTGAAACAATATCCGGACGTAAGCAGCTTGTGGACTGACAGGCTGATTGGTCATGGGAACCAAGACTGTCAGATCCAGAATGCAGCGATGAGAAGAACTCTGCTTTGCTCCAATTTGATTTTTGTAGGTACTCATGTGATAAGGGATATCGGAAGAAATGTGTATACAAACATCCCAGTCCATGAGATTGACAGGGCATCGGTGTGCCATGCTCAAGGGTCTGGGTGTGGGGAGCAAACACAGGTAGTTGGTTGTTGGCCCCTAATGCAAACAGATCTAGGTGTGGGCAATTGACCATTGGGAAACTCTGTTTGGTGAAGCTGGGCTTTGAGGTCCATTCCACGGGCCAAACCTTCCCCCAAGAGAGGGCATTGGCTACAGTGTTGTCCTTGCCTGGTACATAGGCAGCTGTCAGGGTTATGCCTTATTCCTGACACCAATGGAGCATGTTCCACTCAAGGAGGGAGAGTTGAGCTGACATTGTGCCTCCCTTGTGGTTGTTGTATGCCATCATTGTAGTATTGTCACATATGATGAGGACTAGGCGGCTTCGAATGAACCCCTTTAATGTCAGAGAGTATTGAATACTGCTTGCATCTCTAAGACACTGATGTGTACATTTTGATTTGGGCTCCACTTCCCTGCCATCTGGTATGGGTGCGGATTCATTGAAGGTGTGGTCGGAAGAAGGAATTGACTGGAACCATACGATAGATCAAGTAGCGGTTCGGGCAATAATGTGTGAGGAGGTGGAGCTAAAGTGGGCACATATGAACTTGGCAGTGTGGTACAAGATCCACAATGCTTTCCATGAGTCCCAGCAGCTTCAGCCATGCTACTGGCAGGGCCAATGTCTCCCCGAGAAACAATTGGATGCACTACTGGAGATTTAATACTCAAGTGTCTGTTGGAATGGCCGTACCAGTTTTAAGGTCAAGTACTGCTTCCAGGAATGTGGGTGTCTGTGTGGGGATTAGGTGTAATTTTTTTCACGTTGGCAGGGAACCCGTTGTGTGGTCATGGTCAGTGTTTCCCAGAGGGCTTCATTGACTTCCAATTTCGGGCGGCCAACAATAAGCCAGTTGTCCAGATATCGATAAACTAAGTCACTGTTCCTGTGAAGCACAACTCCCATGGCCTTTATAATTCTTGTCAAGACCTGAGGGGAAGTCAACGGACTGAAATGGAAAGCCATGAATTCTATATGTCACTCCTTGTATTGAAATCTTAGGAACAGGTAATGTTGAGGATGAAATTGGAACATAAAGATATGAATCTTTGCAATTGAGGGACATGACCCATGATGATATCTGAATTGAGTCGAGGATTAAATGGAGTGAGTCCATGTGGAAGCGTTCAGTTTGATGAATGATGGTGTTGGAAGGATGGGTGCTCATGAATTCCAGAAATCAACCAAACTGAATTGTTTAGAGCACCCACCAGTTGGAGTCTGGTATCAGACCCTAGGAAAGATGGAAGGCGGCTGACCACAGGTCCGCAAGTTGGGGTTGCCAAGGCTCTCAAAAGTCACCTGTGCTGTCCCCCAGTGAATAGAGAGGCCGGTGACTTATATGACTGGCCATTCAAGTGGGAGGGTTGGCTGTAGCGTTGGTCAGAGGTACATGCCGTTGTTCATGTATTGGCCGAAGTGGAACTGCGACAGCAAAAGGGCCAGGTTTGGGAGGACTTCACAGGGCATCCTTCAGGAGGCTGAAGGGGCTTCGATCTGTGAGGTTTTGTCTGATCTGGACCGCATTTTGATGCTGACCCATGGAGATTTATCCTGTCTATAGCATCAACTTGTTTTGCTTCAGCCTCCATTGCTTCCTGGATTTTGTCAGCAAACAGGTCTGGTCCCTTCAAGGGGAGAGTTTCAAGACACATTCTGGCTCCTTCAGACGGAAGAAGTTATCTACAACATTGCTCTGGTGAAAGGAAGTCATGAGGGTTGAGATGCATGTGAATTGCTCAAGTCAGGCAGAGAGAGATGTCAGGGCCAGGGCAGGGTAATGCCTCGCAACCCTTGTGCCTCTACAAAGGCAGGGTGTCCTGTGTCAATCGGGCCCACAGTGGCCGCAGCCAGTTTCCTCTTCACATATCTTTCCATCACAGAATGTACAGAAAAATAATAAAAATCTGTACTGATGGGAGTAGAAACCAAGAAATGAAGATATACCAGACAAATGGGAACTCTACTCTTTATTCAATTGATGAAATAAATATAAGTGGATGGAGGACGGTGAAGATAAACCTGAGTAAAATGACGGAAGAAATTTTATGATCTATCAACATTCCACGCTAAGAGAAAAAGAGCACATAAGATTGCAGGCAAACCGCAGGGCATGGTGGGTAGCCTATTGTGTGAACTTTTAGTGGATGTATTGCACCTTTAGGGAAATATGCATAAAGTAGTGGCTCTACAAGTAAGATGAACACTGTAAACTCTAAAATGTTAGTAGGTTAGTGCAACATCAAAACATAAACACTCTCAAGATAACCTGTGGCATCAAAGTTGTTGAGTTCCTCCCAAGAGGCTACGTAGCATAATTGATTGTTAATTGAAAAGAAGAAAAAATCATTTTAAATGTTGACACCGAAACCTACAGGTTAAATATATTAAAAACACAATCTGCAGACATCTGAATACCTGAACAAAACAAATAGTATTGTTAAATGTATCATGTTTAGTAATCAACAAAGCAACACTAAATCAATGACTAATTCTAATTCTTATCAGCTGATTAAAGTTTGAGCATGAATTCCATAAAGCATAATAAATAACCTGGAAATGGATCATATAGCTGCATTATGGAATTTTTTTATTTCTCATTTTTACTTGTCTTTGAAGTTAATTTAATATTTGTGGAACAGAACCTCTATATACACTGGGTTGAAGATCAGTAGTGATGAGAGATCTCTGAATCTCTGTTGTTCTGATTTTTCCTTTAAAAACACATATGACTTTTTCAACTTCGACAGATGCAAAACAAATGTAATGGTTGTATTTCTACATCTATAAATTTCCAACCATCAATGTCACATGACATGAATTAAAATCCTTAGTAGCTTGTTTGGGAAAACTGACTGGTGTATGTTCAAAAGAGAAAATTCAAGTCAAACAATAAAATGAAAATACTCTCACTGAGAACTGCAATGTTGTGCAAACAATTTTGAAATGGAGTAAACACTTCTCAGCCAATGAATAACAGTGCTGAGTGAACCTGTACTTTTACATTTGTTGAATTAGGTAAATACACAATAGTTGTACAAAAGTTAAGTGCAATTTGTACATGTTCACATATTTCATTTACAACACCCACCCAAGAGGAACATACCGAAGGGTTGCTAAGTTTTACGATTTCTCTCTTGCCTCGGGCAGTAGCATCTTCAAGACTGTTCTTCTGGTTTTTCAAAGCTGTAATACAAAACAAGTAGATTCTACTAGAGTGACCTAAAACAGACTTTCACTGAAAAAGATGCTAATTGCACCCATTCATACACACACAAAATCTGTATGGAGCTTACTATTGTAAATCTTTTCATGAACTGGAATAAAGTATTGAATTTTTTAAGCCAAACTGTTGATTTTGGTTCACCGATTTGGTTTTCCGAAAGGGGGACATTTTGCTGCTTATAATGGTGACATTGGTTGCAACAACGCATTTTTATTAAGCATATTTTGTGACAAGTTGGAGCCATAATTTGCTGTTTCCACACAAGTCCAAACTTTATGTCCAAAATTACCTTCACTTCCGTGATCCTTGAATACCACGCGATGAACGATGCAATT